CAGAGCATACAGGGACTAATTCCTCAGGGTGTGGAATGGTACTGGATCTACCCTGTGGCTTGAGTAGCCCCTGCAACTGCTATGATATCTAGCCCTTGGGGATGGTAACCTGGGGGTCTGCTAGCCCTGTCATTACCTCATCCCCAAACTTCACTCCTTTGGATTGCAGAAACTAGAGGCCCCACTCTGTGTGGGATGCAGGACATGCAAGGTCCCTTTCAAGGCCCTTTACAGATTGATTGTTTCACTGTGGAAGCAGAATGCCAACCAGTTCTGCAAAAATCTAGAACCCTTGGTTCAGAAATGATACTTTCATTAGACCAACTGAGAAATTGCAAAAAAAAATCTTTTTTTTTGTTGCAATTTCTCAGTTGGTCTAATAAAAGGTATTATTTCTGAATTTCTGAAAGAGGTCTAGATCTTTGCATTTCTTTTTATCTCAGACCAACACGGCTACCAAATACACCCCTGAACCAGTTCTGTTTTATTTGTTTCCAGACTAAACAAATGCACATAGGAAAAACAACAGCCACTGTGAAAGAATGCTATTCCCACAGAAATCACATTAGACATTTTTACATGTGCTTCTGATGCGGCATTGGGTACTTTTAAAAGCAAGCTGCACTAATTAAAAGTGCCCGGCACCACATCAGGAGCACGTGTATCAGCAGTGCCAAGCACCTTCATGCTGAGAAAATGGCAGCGGTCGCTTTGAATTAAAGCACATCAAACGTGTTGTAGTTCAAAGTGCACTGCTGCCATTTTCTCAGTGTGGGGGTACACTGCACCACTGATATACAGAACACTGGAGCACACCAGTTTACATACTCCAGCAGCCTGGATTAACTGAGTCTGCTCTGATGCGTTGGATATCCAGCACGTTGGAGCAGGTTTCTTGTATGTGTTAAGTGCCCATTACTTCCTGAAATCTTTTACGTATACTATAGTTACCGAAAACACCCACCACGGTTAGAACTCAGGTAGGTTGGATTACAGAAAATACTTGGCAATAAACATTGACAAAGGCGAATCCTACTCCTGGTGCAGAACTTATTCCAAGCTAATGGGCTTCCTGGGAATAGATGAAGGGGTTAGGAGAGAAATCCTGCCAGCTAGCTGCAGAGGTAGCAAAATTATGTCAGGGCTGCAACAGCAGTTTCAAGGCTTCAGAAAACCTTTGCCAGGCCTGTGCCCCTCCCTTGAGATAAGACGAAAGGGGAAAGAGAACATCTAATAATCAGTCACTGATCCTGTGGCCCAGCTTTCCCACCATTCCCAAAAAACACTGGGGTGATCTGGGAGCCAACAGACAGACACACAAGAGTGTGCCCCCCTCTGTCTAATGCCAAAATGCTGCCCCTTTGCGTGTTGCCCTCTCACAAGTGGTGCAATTGAGCCAGTTCCACTGCATCTAAAGGCTCTCCACAACTACAGAACAAACCTTCTAAGGCAACATATGATTATGAGTAAGGGTAAAACACTTGGGGTTTGCCAGTCGCTAACTGTGCCTATTTCTTACACTTGACTTGAATCAAATAACAATTTCACAGTTTGTATGTATTCAGTTCTGTGCATATTTTTAAGATTAATTTATCTGTGTACTCCCCTCCTGGTACTCAACTTTGTTACCTACATGGCCATAGGTGGTTTTCTGTAATCTGCTGGCTATGGGCACACCTACTTCTGCCACTGCAAGCAAAGATATGTTGTGCATGAAGACTTCAGATTGTCCTTAATGATTTTTTCCCTCTGACAAAATGATTTTCTGCATTTATAAAAAAATATTACCCAAATCAATCATATTGATCTACATTATCCTCCCAGTAAAAAAGCCTGCTGTACTGGATCATCCTCCATTCTAGAGATAAAAATCAGTGAGACAATACAGAATCAAAAAACTTGTAACTTCTTGAAGATGCATTATTTTCAGTGTCAGATGTAACTTCACAATACAATCCATCTTTATCAGCAGTAAATATTTATATCATGGGAATGCCCAAAGACATCATATCTGCAGCCGTAGTTTTGCTGTGATAGTTGACTACTGTTTGAAAAGTGTGACTATAACCTGGAAGTATTGGGGAGGGAGAGGATGAGCCAAGAATGTTTCATCACCTGCAGCAATTGAAATTCTTGGATGGGAGGAAAGATTCTGCGAGTTCATTTTATAATTATTCCTCTGAATGTTGCTGGGCTAAGAGGGTTTCAACCCAAATCCAGAAGAATCTGCTGGACACAGGGGACCATCTGTGCTGAAAGCCCAGGTCACCAAACATTAGTGCTCTTTTATATCCAGCTCCTTGCTCTGTTTCTGTTCTGCCAGGAACAGCCCAGGGGAAGTTTTCCTTGAAAATTCCCATAAAGGGTACTCCATACGAAAGATAACTCAACTTCAGAAAGCACTAGCTCTTCTGTAGATTTCCAGTTGAGTAGAGTGCATGAGGAGAAAGAGAAAGCTTGTTTCCTTCCCAGCTTTATCTCCACTGTATGCCTTTGACTGTGGAGATCACTTTGTGAGATCAGGCCTACAAGGCAGTTGACCCCCACATCCTGCACAAGAAGGGGCTAGTTGTATGAGGAAGGTTCTGAGCTTGGAGACTGGGGGAAATGTAGCCCACTCCGCCTGTTGTATAGGGTCAACTTTAAGACATGCTGTCTCCACCATGTGCTTAACATGCAAGTAACAGGTACCTAACAGTTCTCCTGACCTACCACATACCTTCTTGTATGCTGTTCTGCAGGTGGTTGACAATAGCTGCTAGGATAGTAGACAGACTCATCACCTGTGCACACTGCGCAAGGCCTAATGTGAATAGCTCATTCCAGCAGGCACGTACAAGGCTCGTGTTACAGTCCTGCCTATAAAAATACAAAGTAAAACAATTCTAACAGGTATTAAGATCATGTTGATACTATCCTAAACACACACAATTTTATTATGATGTTATATGAGAGAGATTTTGAGCACCCCAATAATAGGCACATAGTAGAAAACTATGGGAATTAAAAAAAAGAGTAACAAGAGTGACTGGGGCCGGATGGAGAGTCCATTTTAGGTTTTCTGTAAAATGGAGTTCTTCCTAGTTAAAGTTGCCTACTTCTATGTATAAAAATCAGTAAGTTGCTTTTGATTCAACTTTATATCACAGGGACCACTAAAAATTCAAATATCATGACCCTCACTATCATTGCCACCTTGTTTTACTATTCTTCTTTATGGAGAGGACTATTACATAGTCTGCATACATTTTAAACAATTCATTATAGATTAATTAAATAATTTCATCTTTTATAAACCAATAGAGTCAGAAAAAGTTCCTCTCAATATTTAAGTAATCACTCAGTGGAGAAATATATACTTACCCAAGTGCTTGAAAAGCAGGGATGGATCTAGCCCAGTGCATGGAGAGGAAAAGCAGTCGTGATGCTGATTCACAGATGTAGTGTACATTGAGGTACTCTGGCATCGGACTAGGCATTGTTAGCTGCAGAGAAACAGAAGTACAGTAGAGTCTGCACGATTCAGACACAAACTGACTGTTATTATCAAAGAAATAAACTTAAGTAAAAACATGCAAATAGTATTCAGAATATTTCACTGTAAATTGCCATTTGTTATGCAGTTAAGCAAGTAAAAACTCACAAATAATTCATTAACAATGGCAAGAAGTGCAAGCTTTAGGGATGTGTGAAAGTAGAAATAATATGGAAACCCAATGGGATGATTACTTTAAAAGGACATTAGTATTAATTCAGTAAAAATTACCCCTGACTTCTCATTGCTGCATAGATGATTATTAGCTTTACAATACCTTGGAACCAATGGGAATTGCACTGTAAACTTCTTAAAATGACAAGTAACATAAAATCTGCATGATTCTGGAAATCCATGCCATAAGAAATTGCAAAAGCACAACAGGTAGTAGAGTACACTGACAGTACCTCAAGGTTTTGAATACACAGAGACTTCTTAGCTCAATATTTTATTATTTTTATATCTCTAAACACAATGCACTTTGATAGCAGCAGGAAAGCACATCCTTATTAGTTTCTCCCACACAGCAATAAGATATTACTGTTCAAATTCACTTGAAGATACTGCAGCTTCAAACTGTAAGCCCCTACTGCAATGCCACTAAAACAGTTCCTCAAAATCACCCAAAAAATCACTGTAATCTGAAACAAAAGGCCCAAATATTTACATCCTTGATATGAGGCAGTTTAAAATAAGTTTTAGTAACAAATAAAACAAATTAGTTACACACATATATTAATATTAAAATGCTTATTAACTGCATAATAAATATACATTTTAATATTTATTAACATTAATAAATAAGTTTTAGTAACAAATAAAACAAATTAGTTACACACAGATATTAATATTACAATTCTTAATCACATAGTATTAATATTAACCGCATAGTATATAAAATCCAAACCTAAAATGACAACAACGTTCCACGTAGGAAAGTGCTCAGTGAAAACTGGCACGTCTAGTACACTGTTCAAGGGAAATATGAAAATATTTTATTATACCCTTTACAGCAAGGGTAAAATAAAATGATGGAAGAAAGCTCTTCTAAAATCATTCCAGGCTACATTTTTGCTTCAGATGGTATTTCAGGAAGTACATACCTTAAATGTGACATGTGTATCTGTAAGTAGGGGTCCTTCCACTTCAATAATTGGCGTTGACTGATCTCTGCTGATTACATGAATATTCCCTCCTCCTGCAGGATCCATCCCATCTGCCAAGTTCTGGGCTGCTGTGCCATCTGTGGTGTTAAGTGCTTTAGCCAAAGTATCAAATGCCCTGCAAAAAGAAGAATAACCTATACAGATGACCAGGGCCAGATGTAATCCTGTTCCCTAACACTACTCCCGACTCCTCTCTCACAACCAGAGCTCAGGCTTACAGAAGACCCAAGTCCATTCCATGCTAATGCCAATACAGTATTTCATATTGTTATCCTGCTCTTGGTTAAGGATATTTATTTCTTAGAACCAACAGTTAAAAAAAAGAGAGACTATAGAGTTGGAATCAAAAGAAGCTGTAGTGTGCTCAGCACTTCTGAAAAATCAGGTCACAAATCTAAAAACCTAAATAAAGATAACCTAACTTTAGGCTTCTACTTTATAAATCTTGTCTTGGCAGTCTACTTGGTTTTCCAAGATTTTTAGAGTAGGAGTCTAAAGTTTGGTTGTCTTTATTTAGGGTCTTAAATTTGTGGGATTGGGCAGTTTTGAAATCCCAGGTTTTTCCTGTTTAAAGTTTCCATGTTACCACTATGTGTCTTCATGTTTTGAAAGTCAAGCAAGCTTACTTCTTCTTGGTTTTAAAAGATGAATAAGAGGGATCTAGAGAATAACTACAGAGATGGGTAGGGACCTACCAAATTCATGGCAGACGTGGGGTGTGCTTTGGTGGAGGGGCCCCACTTGCAGCTTGGAGGCGAAAACTGCAGTTTTAAATATGGTGCCATTTTTGCTTCCTGGCACTGATTGGCTGAGGGGTGCCAGGCGGCACTGCTGTTTGCTGCTGACTGGCAGGGAGGCAAAAACAGCACCATGTTTAAAACTGTGGTTTTAGCCTCCCTTCTGATTAGGAGGGAGCAGCGGGATTCTCCGCTAATCAGCAGCGAGGGTGGGGTGGGCAAGGTGCATGTGGGGGAACATGCAAGGTTAAAGGAGCCACCATGCACTGTACTTCCACCGTGAATTCGGTAGGAACCTAGAGATAGGGTTCACATTCTGACTGGAAATGCCAACTAAAGGTTGTTAATCTCAGGTTAATCCCACATTAAAAACCACCATTATCAACCCCTTCTCAGTGTAAAAGCAGGAGTAATGTTGCAGGAAACATTAAAGTTCAGGGCTCAGCTTCATGACAGCTGTATCGGAGTAGTTTGTATAGCATGTGCCTGTGCTGTACTTGACGCAAGGCCTGGAACTAGCATTTCTTTACATTCATGAACATTAAACTCAGAGACCTAAAATAGCACTAAAGTGTTATTGAAACTCAACCTCTTTCAAGGAAACACGTTTTTACCCAAACCAGTGAACCGTTACATACTGAGCATAGAATCTGGTTCTACTTTGTTATGCTGCGTTTAAAGTAAATAGGACAAAGTTCCTACAGAAAGAGAAGAGTGCTGTGGGGGAGTCTGGGAGGAGTCTGTGCTAATGACAGCAGCCAGATACGGACCACTAATGCAGTTATACAACGAGTCAAAATAAGGAAGTTTCCACATTGCTGACGTGATGGCATCATGATGTGCTAGTTCAGGGGTTGGCAACCCCCCAGCAACCCAGAGTGGCAGAGCACAGAGGGGCCACACAGGGAAGCTGCCTGCTGCTGCAAGCTCCACACTGCCCGAGTCACACTTCCCCTATGTGCACGGGAGCAGCGTGGGCAGCATGCAGGGTTGTGCCCTTTGCTGCCGCCCCTGCCTGCAGGGAAAGTGTGGCCAGGGCAGTAGGGAGCTTGGAGTGGCAGGCAGCTTTCTGTGCTCCCCACTGTGCCCAGCCGCGCCGGGTTCCAACGCTGCTCTGCAGAAGCGGTGCTGAGGGCAGCACAGTGGGGAGCATTGCCAGTATCTGCTGCCTCCCCAGAGCCCGGGGCTGGGGCTGGGAGGCAACTGGGTCCGAGAGAGCTGGCCCAGGTTCTGGGTAGCTGCTGATAGCCACAGAGCCT